GGCGGCCAAACCAAAACATGACAGAAATCCATGAAGTCACTGACAAATGGACTGAGTCATGTAGGTAGATGTAGACTACCTGGTTGGGGTCCGCGAGACGTAAGTCACCAATGGTGAGAGACCTTGAATGACATGGTTCGAAATCGTTTGCAATGGCGCAAGTGCATCCACTGTTTGTGTTCTCTGAAATTCTAATCTTCTGAATTCCTCATAATCTCTATCTTTCTCCTTCTAAATTTGTCTTACTGAATTATGATATCTTACTGAATGATATCTCCGAACCCTAATCTTCTTCATTACTGCTAATACTTCTACTATTGCTATCACTGTTGGATTTGAACTGACAGTTGCGTCTCTGTGCTGATGTGGTATGGCAACCTGAACTGATGTACATACGTACGAAGTTCTCTGTTGTATCTGTCTGTCTGTCTATCTGAATGTTATGCATTGTGATAGAGTTCTATGTTCACATAAATTCAAACTGATTTGAAAGTTACACACTGTCATTCTCAGACACGTTAGAGTTGCATGCTTGTACTGAACAACTCAATATGGAACGAATAAAAAATAAGTAGGAGTATGTACTGCTGAACCACCTCCTCATCATAGTAATCGGGATGCATTCGACAGTGTGCATAAATTCAGTCGAAAAAGTGTGTGCATTTACGGATAGTAGTTGATTTCTTGGGTAAAAAACAAGGGATAGTAATTTTCTATACTTCAGTCATTTTATACATAACCATAGCAAAAGTAGTTCGTAATATCGATCGTTTGTGGGACTCTGAAAAAAAAATGCAGTGTTTTGCATAATAATCTAAATCCGGATATAATGTTCCGAAAGTTTCACAACTGAAATTATCATTTCCGGGAAGAAATTCTCTCACTCAACTTTCAGCAATTGCGAAAACGAAGAACTGTGATAATCTCTTCCATCTCCTACTGACGATGATACATTGTGAAAATGGATAAAAGACTCAGTCGCTGACAAGTGGATTGAGTCATGTTTGGTAGATGTAAATTACTTGGTTGGGGTCTACGAGACTATAATAGTAACCGATTGTTAGAGACCTTGAATGACATGGCTCGAAATCGTTTACAGTGAAGCAGGTGCATGCACTCCTTGTGTTCTCCGAAATTCCAATCTTCTGGATTCCTCATCACCTCTATCTTTCTCTTTCTAGATTGATCTCACTGACTTATACTTCTTGAATAATATCTTAGAACCCTAATCTTCTTCATTAACGCTAATACTTCTAGTATCTCTACCATTATGGCGATTTGAACTGACAATTGCGTCTCCGTTCTAATGCGGCATGGCAACCTGAACGAATGTATTTAAGTACGAAGTTTTACGTTATAACTGACTGATTGACTGACTGACAACTTCTATGTTGTTAGGTTTTATTTCCTATGTTCACAGTCTAAAAATTATGACTGGAAATATGTGATTTTTTTTTATAGCTATAACTCTTGCTATTCTTAATTACCATTAAATTGGCTCATAATCTCAACCACCACCACCACCACTGATGATAATGATTATATCATTTTGTTTTTCTCTAACAGCCTCATGCACTATTAAACAAAATCAATGCTGCAGCTAGACCTGAAGAACAACAACGTTTATCAAAAATTACAGCAAATCGTTCACTAGCTGCGTATGTTTTACCAATTCGTACAGTCGGAGTACAAGTATGACTTTTGGGTTGATACATAGAAATTTTACATATTGTGTCGTTATTCTGTTTTTATGAAAAAAATAACTCATTTCCATAAATTACATGTTGATGTCACTAATGTTAAGCTGTTTTTTTCTTTTTTCGACTCATAAACACTTTCATTTTAATTTTAGGGTGATCATCGTACTTATAGTTATGCTTGTGCATTATCTAGTTCAACTGCACCAGATTGGGATGCTCTATCATTTTTGGCTAATTTAATTCCACGTATATGTCATAACATTAATCGGTAAGTGGCATTCATCATGAGTATGTGTACAGAATCACTGGTGTATTTGTTATGGCATGATTATGTATTTTATGGTTATATTTGATAAATTCCCCAAAGTAACCAATCCGAGGAGATTCTATCGATGATTGATTATGTGGTACATAATAACATGGCCAACTCTTCCGGCCATTCACGCTTCAATCCAAGGACCATAGTGTGGTCTATAGTCATGGGCAAACACAGTACATCCCACTTCGTACGTCATTTTCTTTCCAGACTTGGTCTCTACTGGTGTTGATGCATTACTCGAATGCATCAGGCCGTGGATCGTTTCCAGTCTTCTTCCCATCAGGATTTCTGTTGGAGACCTTTGCTCCTGTAACGTCTCATTTGGTGTTGTTCGATAAACGTACAAGACATTTTGTAAGGTGTTCGCTGGTGTCCCCTCCTCTTTTAACTTTAATAATGCTCTTTTAAACGTATCCACAAACCTTTCTGCTTGTCCATTCGACTGCGGGTGGTATGGGAGCGACCGTAAGTGCTTGATGGCTAGCTGTTGACAGAAAGCTTGAAATTAGTTAGATGTAGATCGCAACCCGTTGTCCGATACAATCACATCTGGTATGCCATTTCGAGAGAAAATTTCTGTAAGGAGCTGTATTGTTTTATTTGTTGTGGGTGGCATTACAGGGCTGATATCTGGCCATTTTGAAAGGGTGGCCATTAAATCGGCGGAACTTTGGAATTCACCTTTGTCGCTTGCTGACACCGCATGCATTTTTCAACCAACTCGGTGATATGTTGATCCATTAGAGGCCAGTATGCTATGTATTTCATTCGTCTAACCTCCGGCTGACCAAAGGGGAACTGTTTCAGCACTTTTGCTCGAAATAATTCTGGCACAATCACTCTTTCTCCAAAAATCAAGCAGTCTTTTACAATGCATAGTGAATCCCGCCGCTGATACAGCTGCTTCATGTCACCATCAGACTTCTTAGACGGCCAACCGTTGGTGACATAGTTCATCTTCAGTTCCAGTTTTCGAGCTTTTGATAACTTCAAGTTATATTTTACATAGTACGCCACTGCTATTGAATATTGAATAAATCAACACAAGCTCATGGTGTTATTAGTCAATTGATTTAGATTTAAAGATGATTCCACAATATTTATCAAATACAAGTAAATTCTAAATTCAACAAATAACATTGATGATATTCTGTATTTCTTATATTGATTAATTCATTTCAGAGTGGTCTATATATTAGGATCACAAGTTGTTCATCCAGTCAATGATATTACAATCACATACCTTCGAGAACCGGTGATTAATACACTTCGAGAAGTGGATGATAAAGTTATGACAGTGTTACAAAACAATGGTTGTATGAATAATGTTGATCAAATGCCAGTTGTTCTTATACCGATTCATTTTGATCGTGATCCAAGTCAAGTAGTATCGATTCCGTCTATTTTACGATCAATTGTACTTAGACCTGTGAAATCAGCTGATTTCATGACATGTATTGCTGCTATTCCCGGTGTTCATATTCCTGAAGATGTAAGTAAATTGTCTATAATAGAGAGGATTATTTTTTCCTAATTGACTTTTTACGATTGTCACTTACTTAAAATAAAGTTAATTGATTCGTCAAGTTGAAATTATCAAGCCAACTGAGTATATTAATCTTTTTGTGTTTTTTTTTTACTAATCAGTCCCTAATTTTATTTGACTGATATATAAATAGTGAGTTTGGAAATACCCTTTGACTTCATATTTCCAATTATATAGAACCTTGTTATGAAATAATCAGACATGTGATATAAATAAATGATTTATTGCCACTGGGTCAGATGATAATCATCACACTATAACTATATGTAACTTGATTAGATAAGTTTATCAGTATGAATAACCGATAAAAAAAATCAAGGATTTTTTAATTTGGACATAATTTTATATCTTAAGTTCTAAGTTTCAGTTAGTCAGTTACAACCTAGAACTTGGTACGTACGTACATCAGTTCAAGTTGCCATATCACATCAGCACAGAGACGCAACTGTCAGTTCAAATCCAATAGTGGTAGAGATATTAGAAGTATTAGCAGTAATGGAGAAGACTAGGGTTCTAAGATATAATTCGAGAAGTATAATTCAGTGAGATAAAGTTAGAAAGAGAAAGATAGAGATTATGAGGAATTCAGAAGGTTAGAATTAGAGAGAACACAAAGAGTGGATGCATCTACGACATTGCCAAAGATTCTGAGCCATGTCATTCAAGGTCTCTAACCATTGGTGACTTTCGTCTCGCGGACCCCAACCAGATAGCCTACATTTACCAACATGACTCAATCCACTTGTCAGTGACTTCATGGATTTGTGTCATGTCTTGGTTTGGCCGCCCCTAGCTTTCTTCCAACCTTCTCTTACATCACAAAATATAGCTCGTCGAAGCAGTCTATGGTTGAACATACATTACACATGCTCCAACCACCTCAACTAAAGAAGTCTCAATACTTCATCTGCTTATCTGTCATCCTTACCAAGTTACTCGGTTCTTAACAGCAATATTGTTTACTCGACTGTCCTAAGATAAATAAGCAATTCTCAGGAGACATCCATGATGGAAAACTTGTAACCTACAAATATTTTCTACTCTGACTGACCATGTTTCACAGTCACAAAGTAGAACGGAGCGAATTGCTGCGTTAATACACTCGTCAAAATTTCCAATTTGAAACCATAATAGCAATATAATTTGCAATGCTAATCCACTATATATACATATAGATTGCTGAATTACAGCATACATGCATATGAAACAGAAATTCCATAAGTTTAATGAAAAAAAATAAAACCAAATATATTTAGAATGTAATATATTTTCCCAGCATATTCCATACAATATGATCACAAGTTTACTTACTTATCAACTGACTTTTTACATGATGAACATGTTTGAACAAAGTTCAAACATATCAAAATGATGATGATTATTTAAGGGCATAAAAAAAGAAAAAGGAAGTTAAACAATGTAATCTTGTCACGTATCATAAATTCTTGTCTATGGATAGGGTATATAGTGAGTACAGTACTCTGTTTCTTTTGAGGGTGTTTCAGTGAAAATGTATCTTGAAAACTCTTGTAGACATTGATTAAGTTATAAGTAAGTGCAATTACGAGATCAAGTCTACAAAAAGAAAGAATAATCTCTGTTGGATTATAAAATAGACAAGGAATACAATACAAGTTTTCTCCACCATCTCAAAATCATATGAGCGTGATACGCTTCACATTGTTCGAAAATGGGAGAAGGCAGGCTTCCACCCGAGAACAACTGTTTTTTCTCCACGAATGTCTTCGTCAGCATGTTCTGCCAACAAGCGTCAGATATAGACCACCAATCAACTGCCTAATGGGATGGCGAATAGCGGAGCAAAGTGGGAGACATATGGTACAATTAATGATCACCGACGCACACTACAGGATCCACAAATACCAGCACAACATGGATGAACAAAAAAGAAAACTAGAAAGAATACTTACATCAGAACACTTAACAACGTTGACAACGGCGATTGAACTGTCAAGCAGACGACACAGAGAACAAAGAAGAAGCATCCTCAAAGAAAAACTAATCAAGATTTCAAAGCTAGCCATAGAATAAAACGCAAACAGTTGTGTGTTCAACCTATCGAAGCAACATCTAACGACAACAGAAGTACAACTGCTCCAAAAAGGATTAAACTATAACATGAAGGACGCTTCAAAACTGGTATTCTTCGCGGGATTAGAGTCATCGCTCAAAACGGCAGGAATAAGTGAAGAAACTCAACAAGAAATAAGACAAACCATAGTACCACTAACTCGACGGAAGAGAGACAACAATCAACTAACAGCACAACAACGAAAAGCTCTGAAGAAACTCAAAACCAGAGAAGATGTAGTCATAGTTCCAGCGGACAAAGGGCGCACAACAGTAATCATGGACAAGGAGGAATATATCAAGAAAGCCGAGGAGCTACTTCACGACAGAAACGTATATAAACCAGTTGACACAAACCCTATAAAAATGTTGGACAATCAAATCTCAAGGACTCTAAATAGGCTTGTCAAAACAGGACAAATATCAAAACAAGATCAATGGAGAATGAAATCCAATGGACCAACAATTCCACGATTCTACGGTAGGCCGAAACTCCACAAACCTAACATCCCACTACGGACAAAGTGGACGACCTCTTCAGCTCCGTTTACGTGAACATCAATTAGCAGTCAAACGCCACGACAACGCTTCGCTTATATCAATACACACCGACAATTATGGACACACATTTGATTGGAACAATGTGGAAATACTGGGTAGGGGGAGGACAAAGAACACTAGAGAATTTTTAGAAGCTTGGTACTCAGGTCAATTAGCAATCAACAAACACATCGACATTGACCCAATTTATCAACCAATCAGGAAAATCATAGGTGACACAGGATCAAGAAACAGATCAAAAGGGGGAGGCAATCAAAACAAAGTTGCAAACAACGACAGGTCAAAGGTCAACAACAACCAATCAAGATCGAGGTTAGCAGAACAAGCTACAGGTCAAATATGGAGAAATTCTAATACTTCACTTCTTTCTGAAGTTTGTGCTGATGATGTTGTTCAGAAGAACAGCAATGAAAGCTCCACAACCAAAACAACCAGCTCAGAGAACAAAACACCACCACAATCATCCACCTGAGCTATAAGTTTTCTCCACCATCTCAAAATACATAATACTTTGCAAAAATTTATTTAGCTATTTGAAGATATTTTTAGCGTGTACTGTCAATATAATTGAATCAGCCTCAAATTTTTTTATCAATCTTTTCTATTGTACACATGTATTTTCATATTTTATGACTATAGAAACTAATAGAAATAATTAACAAAGCTACTGTAAACACTTTCATAACTGAGTAGTATTATGCTGTGGTGCAATTCTATAAATAATTTCTTATCATTTTGTGTAACTAAATTTCACTATTCACTATATATTCAACCGGAAACTTAGCAATGAATAAGTTTATTTTTATCAAGTGTCTACTATAAGTAGTATAAAATTAACCAAGAAAATATTTGTCCTCCTTTGTGGTTGTGACAATCAGACAATCAAACTTAATGCAACTACACATAAAGCTGCCACAAAGTTCTTGTCTTCTATAATTTCTGCCTTTATATATTCATGAGGATTACTGGGACTTAAGTGACTCTTTGAATTGTTTACTTGAAAAAATTAGTTCTTGAATAGAAAATTTTGACCATTGTGGTTAAAACTATTATACATCTATATTAAATACGAATTGTACTTAAATAAAATCATTTGTTGTATGAGTATATTTTAAAGAGTAGTTATTCTTTTGGAATAATATTACGCTTTACAGCTAGATCTACCAAAATAATCATCATTACTGTACAATAAATACTACGAACTGTTAGAGCTTATGTAAATAACAACATAACATTTCTGTCACAAATTTTTAAGCAAGAAGTATTTTTATGGTGTTAGTTTACCTTGAAGTCAGCTGTACGCATCCGTGACTCTTGTTACTCGCAGGATTCGAACCCAAGACCTTTGGTTTTGTGTGCGAATCCCTATTCTCTAGACTACTGAATTGGCATCCCACGGTGTTAATATCTAACTGTGATCAATCTAAGGATTTTGTGCAACCTTACTCATAGTTATTGCCTACACCCTGCCACAGGGTTAAACTCCACTAGTCATGTTGTTAGTTTATATTCAAGTAGTATAATGTAGTAGTAGTAGTAGTAGTAGTAGTAGTGAACGAGAACACAGGTGGGTTAACCGGATTGTATTTAACGAAAATTACAGAGTTACTCAGTAAAATAGGAAAACCATATCGTAAATTGTTCATTTGCAAAATATCAGTTCATCATATCGAACTGGACTGTTCCTGTTGCAAACAACATCAATCCATTGTCACTATCCATGCGTTTCATACAAATTCCATTGTTTTCTAACTCTTCCTTTCTTGATCTTCCCTCCATCTTCTGCTGCCATACGTTACGTTGACACTCACATCATATACTACTTATAAGTAGCTCGCACCACAGTAGTAGTATAATGTGCTAACACTAATTATCATTATTATTATTTATATCCAGAAATGCATAATGTTGTTTGTCTTTATCAATAGGTTGTTTACAAGATGCAAAAAGCAGCTGAAGAAGTACCAGGCATATCACGTGTTCTATACGATCTCACGTCGAAACCGCCAGCAACTATTGAATGGGAGTAATATATATATATATATATATATATATATATATATATATATATATATATATATATAGACAAGGTAAATTTTCTCCCACGATCATGATTTTAATGATAGACGACACTCTTCAATATTGTCTCGTGTGTTGTTTATTCGTTCGGTTCATTCAGCAACCAATCAACATATTCATCTGGATATAATGATTATTATTTTCAATTCTCTCTCTCTCTCCCTATCTTTCTGTTTCTCTCTACTGATAATAATAAATTTCAACGAACTATTTATTATTCTTGTGTGTAATCTGGGTTGTTGTATTTTTTTCTTCTTCTTGTGTTTCATCACACTATTAATTCCATTGACTGTATAAGATTTCGTTGATTGACAAAATCTGTTTTGTTTTTCTATTCTAAACTAATAAATACACACATTAAAAGTGTTGTTGTTCATTTGTAGGGTCTTTTTTTGTTGTTGTTGCACATCTCATCTCATCTCATCTGTAGTGTTTTATTATACATACATCAGTGATGCAGTCATTGATGTATGTATAATAAAACACTACAGATAATGAGATGAGATGTGCAACAACAACAAAAAAGACCCTACAAATGAACAACAACACTTTCAATGTGTGTATTTATTAGTTTAGAATAGAAAAAAAAACAGATTTTGTCAATCAACGAAATCTTATACAGTCAATGGAATTAATAGTGTGATGAAACACAAGAAGGAGAAAAAACAACCCAGATTACACACAAGAATAGTTCGTTGAAATTGATTATTATCAGTAGAGAGAAACAGAAGGATAGAGAGAGAGAGAGAGAATTGAAAATAATAATTATTATATCCAGATGAAAATGTTGGTTGGTTGCTGAACGAACGAACGAACGAACCGAACGAACAAACAACACACAAGACAATATTGAAGAGTGTCTATCATTGAAACCATGATCGTGGGAGAAAATTCTCCTTGTCTATATATATATATATATATATATATATATATATATATATATATATATTACTCCCATTCAATAGTTGCTGGCGGTTTCGACGTGAGATCGTATAGAACACGTGATATACCTGGTACTTCTTCAGCTGCTTTTTGCATCTTGTAAACAACCTATTCATAAAGATAAACAACATTATGCATTTCTGGATATAAATAATAATAATGATAATAATAATGTTAGTACATTATACTACTACTGTGGTGCTGTGGTGCGAGCTACTTATAAGTAGTATATGAGGTGAGTGTCAACGTAATATCTGGCAGCAGAAGATGGGGGGGAGATCAAGAAAGGAAGAGTTAGAAAACAATGGAATTTGTATGAAACGCATGAATAGTGACAATGGATTGATGTGTGGCAACAGGAACAGTCCAGTTCCATAGGATGAACTGATATTTTGCAAATGAACGATTTACGATATGGTTTTCCGACTTTACTGAGTAACTCTGTAATTTTCGTTAAATACTACTACTACATTATACTGCTTGAATATAAACTAACAACGTGACTAGTGGAGTTTAACCCTGTGGCAGGGTGTAGGCAATAACTATGAGTAAGGTTGCACAAAATCCTTAGATTGATCACAGTTAGATATTAACACCGTGGGATGCCAATTCAGTAGTCTAGAGAATAGGGATTCGCACACAAAACCAAAGGTCTTGGGTTCGAATCCTGCGAGTAACAAGAGTCACGGATGCGTACAGCTGACTTCAAGGTAAACTAACACCATAAAAATACTTCTTGCTTAAAAATTTGTGACAGAAATGTTATGTTGTTATTTACATAAGCTCTAACAGTTCGTAGTATTTATTGTACAGTAATGATGATTATTTTGGTAGATCTAGCTGTAAAGCGTAATATTATTCCAAAAGAATAACTACTCTTATTTAAGTACAATTCGTATTTAATATAGATGTATAATAGTTTTAACCACAATGGTCAAAATTTTCTATTCGTGAACTAATTTTTTCAAGTAAACAATTCAAAGAGTCACTTAAGTCCCAGTAATCCTCATGAATATATAAAGGCAGAAATTATAGAAGACAAGAACTTTATGGCAGCTTTATGTGTAGTTGCATTAAGTTTGATTGTCTGATTGTCACAACCACAAAGGAGGACAAATATTTTCTTGGTTAATTTTACACTACTTATAGTAGACACTTGATAAAAATAAATTTACTCATTGCTAAGTTTCCGGTTGAATATATAGTGAATAGTGAAATTTAGTTACACAAAATGATAAGAAATTATTTATAGAATTGCATCACAGCATAATACTACTCAGTTATGAAAGTGTTTACAGTAGCTTTGTTAATTATTTCTATTAGTTTCTATAGTCATAAAATATGAAAATACATGTGTACAATAGAAAAGATTGATAAAAAAATTTGAGGCTGATTCAATTATATTGACAGTACACGCTAAAAATATCTTCAAATAGCTAAATAAATTTTTGCAAAGTCTTATGTATTTTGAGATAGCGGAGAAAATTTGTAGCTCATGTGGACGATTAAGGTAGTGTTTCGTTCTCTTAGCTGGATGTTTCGGTTGTGGAGCTTTCATTGCTGTTCTTCTGAACAACATCATCAGCACAAACTTCAGATAGAAGTCAAGTATTCGAATTTCTCCACGTTTGACCTGTAGCTTGTTCTGCTAACCTCGATCTTGATTGGTTGCTGTTGACCTTTAACCTGTCGTTGGTTGCAACTTTGTTTTGATTTCTATCCCCACTTTGATCTGTTTCTTGATCCTATGTCACCTATGATTTTTTGTGATTGGTTGATAAATTGGGTCAATGTCGATGTGTTTGTTGATTGCTAATTGACCTGAGTACCAAGCTTCTAAAAATTCTCTAGTATTCTTTGTTCTCCCCCCACCCAGTATTTCCACATTTGTTCCAATCAAATGTGTGTCCATAATTGTCGGTGTGTATTGATATAAGCGAAGCGTTGTCGTGGCGTTTGACTGCTAATTGATGTTCACTTCAACGGAGCTGAAGAGGTCGTCCACTTTGTCCGTAGTGGGGTGTTAGGTTTGTGGAGTTTCGGCCTACCGTAGAATCGTGGAATTGTTGGTCCATTGGATTTCATTCTCCATTGATCTTGTTTTGATATTTGTCCTGTTTTGACAAGCCTATTTAGAGCCCTTGAGATTTGATTGGGGTTTGTGTCGACTGGTTTATATACGCTTCTGTCTTGAAGTAGCTCCTAGGCTTTCTTGATATATTCCTCCTTGTCCATGATTACTGTTGTGCGTCCTTTGTCCGCTGGAACTATGACTATATCTTCTCTGGTTTTGAGTTTCTTCAGAGCTTTTCGTTGTTGTGCTGTTAGTCAGTGGTTGTCTGTCTTTCGTCGAGCTAGTGAGACTAAGGTTTGTCTTATTTCTTGTTGAGTTTCTTCACTTATTTCGGCCATTTTGAGTGATGACTCTAAACCAGCGAATAATTCGAGTTTTGAAGCGTCTTTCATGTTATAGTTTAATCCTTTTTGGAGAAGTTGTTCTTCTGTTGTCGTTAGATGTTGCTTCGATAGGTTGAACACACAACTGTTTGCGTTTTATTCTGTGGCTAGCTTTGAAATCTTGATTAGTTTTTCTTTGAGGATGCTTCTTCTTTGTTCTCTGTGTCGTCTGCTTGACAGTTCAATCGCCGTTGTCAACGTTGTTAAGTGTTCTGATGTAAGTATTCTTTCTAGTTTTTTTTTTTGTGCATCCATGTTGTGTTGGTATTTGTGGATCCTGTAGTGTGCGTCGGTGATCATTAATTGTACCATATGTCTCCCACTTTGCTCCGCTATTCGCCATCCCATTAGGCAGTTGATTGGTGGTCTTTATCTGACGCTTGTTGGCAGAACATGCTAACGAAAACATTCGTGGAGAAAAAACAGTTGTTCTCGAATGGAAGCCTGCCTTTTGGCGAAATTCTCCCATTTTCGAACAATGTGAAGCGTATCACGCTCATATGATTTTGAGATGGTGGAGAAAACTTGTATTGTATTCCTTGTCTATTTTATAATCCAACAGAGATTATTCTTTCTTTTTGTAGACTTGATCTCGTAATTGCACTTACTTATAACTTAATCAATGTCTACAAGAGTTTTCAAGATACATTTTCACTGAAACACCCTCAAAAGAAACAGAGTACTGTCCTCACTATATACCCTATCCATAGACAAGAATTTATGATACGTGACAAGATTACATTGTTTAGCTTCCTTTTTCTTTTTCTATGCCCTTAAATAATCATCATCAGTTTGATATGTTTGAACTTTGTTCAAACATGTTCATCATGTAAAAAGTCAGTTGATAAGTAAGTAAACTTGTGATCATATTGTATGGAATATGCTGGGAAAATATATTACATTCTAAATATATTTGGTTTTATTTCTTTTCATTAGACTTATAAAATTTCTGTTTCATATGCATGTATGCTGTAATTCAGCAATCTATATATATATATAGTGGATTAGCATTGCAAATTATATTGCTATTATGGTTTCAACTTGGAAATTTTGACGAGTGTATTAACGCAGCAATTCGCTCCGTTCTACTTTGTGATTGTGAAACATGGTCAGTCAGAGTAGAAGATATTCGTAGGTTACTAGTTTTCCATCATGGATGTCTCCTGAGAATTGCTTATTTATCTTAGGACAGTCGAGTAAACAATATTGCTGTTAAGAACCGAGTACTTGGTAAGGATGACAGATAAGCAGATGAAGTATTGAGACTTCTTTAGTTGAGGTGGTTGGAGCATGTGTAATGTATGTTCAACCATAGACTGCTTCGACGAGCTATATTTTGTGATGTAAGAGAAGGTTGGAAGAAAGCTAGGGGCGGCCAAACCAAGACATGACACAAATCCATGAAGTCACTGACAAGTGGATTGATTTATGTTGGTAAATGTAGGCTATCTGGTTGGGGTCCGCGAGACGAAAGTCACCAATGGTTAGAGACCTTGAATGACATGGCTCAGAATCTTTGGCAATGTCGCAGATGCATCCACTCTTTGTGTTCTCTCTAATTCTAACCTTCTGAATTCCTCATAATCTCTATCTTTCTCTTTCTAACTTTATCTCACTGAATTATACTTCTCGAATTATATCTTAGAACCCTAGTCTTCTCCATTACTGCTAATACTTCTAATATCTCTACCACTATTGGATTTGAACTGACAGTTGCGTCTCTGTGCTGATGTGATATGGCAACTTGAACTGATGTACGTACGTACCAAGTTCTAGGTTGTAACTGACTAACTGAAACTTAGAACTTAAGATATAAAATTATGTCCAAATTAAAAAATCCTTGATTTTTTTTATCGGTTATTCATACTGATAAACTTATCTAATCAAGTTACATATAGTTATAGTGTGATGATTATCATCTGACCCAGTGGCAATGAATCATTAATTTATATCACATGTCTGATTATTTCATAACAAGGTTCTATATAATTGGAAATATAAAGTCAAAGGGTATTTCCAAACTCACTATTTATATATCAGTCAAATAAAATTAGGAACTGATTAGTAAAAAAAAAATTTACAAAGATTAATATACTCAGTTTGCTTGATAATTTCAACTTGACGAATCAATTAACATTATTTTAAGTAAGTGACCATTGTAAAAAGTCAATTAGGAAAAACAATCCTCTCTATTATAGACAATTTACTTACATCTTCAGGAATATGAACACCGGGAATAGCAGCAATACATGTCATGAAATCAGCTGATTTCACAGGTCTAAGTACAATTGATCGTAAAATAGACGGAATCGATACTACTTGACTTGGATCACGATCAAAATGAATCGGTATAAGAACAACTGGCATTTGATCAACATTATTCATACAACCATTGTTTTGTAGCACTGTCATAACTTTATCATCCACTTCTCGAAGTGTATTAATCACTGGTTCTCGAAGGTATGTGATTGTAATATCATTGACTGGATGAACAACTTGTGATCCTAATATATAGACCACTCTGAAATGAATTAATCAATATAAGAAATACAGAATATCATCAATTTTATTTGTTGAATTTAGAATTTACTTGTATTTGATAAATATTGTGGAATCATCTTTAAATCTAAATCAATTGACTAATAACACCATGAGCTTGTGTTGATTTATTCAATATTCAATAGCAGTGGCGTACTATGTAAAATATAACTTGAAGTTATCAAAAGCTCGAAAACTGGAACTGACGATGAACTATGTCACCAACGGTTGGCCGTCTAAGTTTTCTGATGGTGACATGAAGCAGCTGTATTAGCGGCGGGACTCACTATGCATTGTAAAAGACTGCTTGATTTTTGGAGAGTGATTGTGCCAGAATCATTTCGAGCAAAAGTGCTGAAACAGTTCCCCTTTGGTCAGCCGGAGGTTAGACGAATGAAATCCATAGCATACTGGCCTCTAATGGATCAACATATCACCGAGTTGGTTGAAAAATGCATGCGGTGTCAGCAAGCGACAAAGGTGAATTCCAAAGTTCCGCCGATTTAATGGCCACCCTTTCAAAATGGCCAGATATCAGCCCTGTAATGCCACCCACAACACATAAAACAATACAGCTCCTTACAGAAATTTTCTCTCGAAATGGCATACCAGCTGTGATTGTATCGTACACCGGCTTGCGATCGACATCTAACGAATTTCAAGCTTTCTGTCAACATCCAGCCATCAAGCACTTACGGTCGCTCCCATACCAACCGCAGTCGAATGGGCAAGCAGAAAGGTTTGTGGATACGTTTAAAAGAGCATCGTTAAGTCAAAGGGGTAGTGGACACCAGCCGACGCGTTACAAAATTTCTTTTACGTTAATCGAACAACACCAATGAGACGTTACCGGAGCAAACGTTTCCAGCCGAAATCCTGATAGGAAGAAGAAGACTGGAAACGATCCACGGCCTGATGCATTCGAGTAATGCATCAACACCAGTAGAGACCAAGTCTGGAAAGAAAATGACGTACGAAGTGGGATGTACTGTGTTTGCCCATGACTATAGACCACACTATGGTCCTTGGATTGAAGCGTGAATGGCCGGAAGAGTTGGCCATGTTATTATGTACCACATAATCAATCATCGATAGAATCTCCTCGGATTGGTTACTTTGGGGAATTTATCAAATATAACCATAAAATACATAATCATGCCATAACAAATACACCAGTGATTCTGTACACATACTCATGATGAATGCCACTTACCGATTAATGTTATGACATATACGTGGAATTAAATTAGCCAAAAATGATAGAGCATCCCAATCTGGTGCAGTTGAACTAGATAATGCACAAGCATAACTATAAGTACGATGATCACCCTAAAATTAAAATGAAAGTGTTTATGAGTCGAAAAAAGAAAAAAACAGCTTAACATTAGTGACATCAACATGTAATTTATGGAAATGAGTTATTTTTTTCATAAAAACAGAATAACGACACAATATGTAAAATTTCTATGTATCAACCCAAAAGTCATACTTGTACTCCGACTGTACGAATTGGTAAAACATACGCAGCTAGTGAACGATTTGCTGTAATTTTTGATAAACGTTGTTGTTCTTCAGGTCTAGCTGCAGCATTGATTTTGTTTAATAGTGCATGAGGCTGTTAGAGAAAAACAAAATGATATAATCATTATCATCAGTGGTGGTGGTGGTGGTTGAGATTATGAGCCAATTTAATGGTAATTAAGAATAGCAAGAATTATAGCTATAAAAAAAAAATCACATATTTCCAGTCATAATTTTTAGACTGTGAACATAGGAAATAAAACCTAACAACATAGAAGTTTTCAGTCAGTCAGTCAGTCAGTTATAACGTAGAACTTCGTACGTAAATACATCCGTTCAGGTTGCCATGCCGCATTAGAACGGAGACTCAATTGTCAGTTCAAATCGCCATAATGGTAGAGATACTAGAAGTATTAGCGTTAATGAAGAAGATTAGGGTTCTAAGATATTATTCAAGAAGTATAAGTCAGTGAGATCAATCTAGAAAGAGAAAGATAGAGGTGATGAGGAATCCAGAAGATTGGAATTTCGGAGAACACAAGGAGTGCATGCACCTGCTTCACTGTAAACGATTTCGAGCCATGTCATTCAAGGTCTCTAACAATCGGTTACTATTATAGTCTCGTAGACCCCAACCAAGTAATTTACATCTACCAACATGACTCAATCCACTTGTCAGCGACTGAGTCTTTTATCCATTTTCACAATGTATCATCGTCAGTAGGAGATGGAAGAGATTATCACAGTTCTTCGTTTTCGCAATTGCTGAAAGTTGAGTGAGAGAATTTCTTCCCGGAAATGATAATTTCAGTTGTGAAACTTTCGGAACATTATATCCGGATTTAGATTATTATGCAAAACACTGCATTTTTTTTTCAGAGTCCCACAAACGATCGATATTACGAACTACTTTTGCTATGGTTATGTATAAAATGACTGAAGTATAGAAAATTACTATCCCTTGTTTTTTACCCAAGAAATCAACTACTATCCGTAAATGCACACACTTTTTCGACTGAATTTATGCACACTGTCGAATGCATCCCGATTACTATGATGAGGAGGTGGTTCAGCAGTACATACTCCTACTTATTTTTTATTCGTTCCATATTGAGTTGTTCAGTACAAGCATGCAACTCTAACGTGTCTGAGAATGACAGTGTGTAACTTTCAAATCAGTTTGAATTTATGTGAACATAGAACTCTATCACAATGCATAACATTCAGATAGACAGACAGACAGATACAACAGAGAACTTCGTACGTATGTACATCAGTTCAGGTTGCCATACCACATCAGCACAGAGACGCAACTGTCAGTTCAAATCCAACAGTGATAGCAATAGTAGAAGTATTAGCAGTAATGAAGAAGATTAGGGTTCGGAGATATCATTCAGTAAGATATCATAATTCAGTAAGACAAATTTAGAAGGAGAAAGATAGAGATTATGAGGAATTCAGAAGATTAGAATTTCAGAGAACACAAACAGTGGATGCACTTGCGCCATTGCAAACGATTTCGAACCATGTCATTCAAGGTCTCTCACCATTGGTGACTTACGTCTCGCGGACCCCAACCAGGTAGTCTACATCTACCTACATGACTCAGTCCATTTGTCAGTGACTTCATGGATTTCTGTCATGTTTTGGTTTGGCCGCCCCTAGCTTTCTTCCAACCTACTCCTACACTGCAAAACATAGCTCGTCACGGCAGTCGGTGGTTAGCCATACGTAACACAAGTCCCAAACAGCTCAACTGATGAAGTTTCACTACTTCATCTATTGACTTGCATAACATTGAGGGGAATAAGTCTAAATACCAAATATAAATAAAAAAACTTGGCATAAATATTATTCTGTCACGGACAACTGGTAAAGATCTCAAAACAAACCAACCAACCTTTTGTGACATTTGATGATATCCAGCGATCATTTTTATAAGACTTGTTGTCTCAGAAAAATCTCTTTCAATGTATGGTTCAGCAGCACATAAAATTCTAACAGCTAAACCTGGACCAGGAAAAGGATGTCGATTGACAATAGCTTCTGGAAGTCCAAGTTGTCGACCAATTTGTCTAACTTCATCTTTATGAAAATCTGATAGCGGTTCAACGACCCGACCCTTTTTAAAAAAATGAAAACAAACAAACAAACAATGTTTTATGTCTACAAAATCATAATCAAAAAGTAAAGGGCATGAATGGCTTTTGCCAACCTGCGTCACTTATGGCGAAGGCGAGATATCCGTTTACTGACTAAAGGACGAGTGTACTGTGCAGTGGTTCGCTCCATCTTACTTTATGGCTTTGAAACATGGCCAGTTAGAGTAGAAGATATTCGTAGGTCAATAGTATTCGAGTATAGATGTCTTCGAAGGATTGCTCGTATATCCTAGGACACCCGAGTGAGCATTCCTGTTATTAGGACACGGGTGTTAGGTAAGAATGGCAGATCAATAGATGAAGTAATGAAACTTCATCAGTTGAGGTGGTTGGGACATGTGTTGCGTATGCCCAACCACCGACTGCCTCGAAGAGCTTTGTTTTGTAGTGTAGGAATAGGTTGGAAGAAAGTTAGGGGCGGCCAAATCAAAACATGGCAGAAATCCATGAAGTCATTGACAAGTGGACTGAGCCATGTCGGTAATTGTCGACTGCCTGGTTGGGGTCCGCGAGATGATATTAATCGATGGTTAGAGACCTTGAATGACATGGCTCAAAATCGTTCGCAATGGCGCCGGTGCATTTATTCTTTGTGCTCTCTCAAATCCTTACCTTTTGGGTTCTTCAACAACTCTAGTTTTGACTTTCTAAACTTTTCTCATTAAATCATACTTCTTGAATAATATCTTCTAATCCTAACCTCTTCGATTACTCCTAATACCTTTAATACCTCTTCTACTATTGGATTTGAATTGACAATTACATCTCTGTGCTGATGTGGTATGGCGACATGAACTGATGTACTTACTTACGAAGTTCTACGTTGCATCTGACTGACTGACTGACTGAAAGGGCATGAATGACAGACAGATGAAGTATTTGAAAATAGCCAGTATAGCTTTGTTGTCTACACAGCTCATAAGTTAACATTTTTCAATATATTCGAATTTTCAAAAAAGTATTTGACTATACCCGATTAAAAAAAACTCGTGTAAAATAAAACTACTACATAATCTCTGTCTGGAGGCATTCTAAGGTTATAGCTGATCTAAAGGCCGAATAAATGAGGAGGGTTGGACATGGAATTAGTGATCCCATCTCATAGAAAACCATTTAAGCTCTGCAATGGCAGCTGGAAGGTCTTTCTTTAGAAGAGTTATGATACCTAATGATGAAAGCTGAATTTCTTCAAAAGTTACAAGGCCGATGCCTCTTTCTGAAAATCAGTGCAGCCATTAATATAAGTACATGGAACGTTCGCACAATATGGAAGACCGGTAAAACTATACAAGTTACATAGAAAATGAAAAGATACAACTTGATGGTGCTTGAAATGAGTAAAACTCAGGCTGGACAAAAAAAATCAGCTTTAGGAGAGGTGCTGTTGTAATTAGACCATGAATAAGAAAATGCCTCACATACTCAAAGAGTTGCACCAATGCTGTCCAAAGTAGCACAAGAAGAACTTATGGGATGGGAATTTCATGGACGCAGGATCATCAAAGCACCTTTCAAAGCAAAGGAGGGGTTTTCAATGTCAACCGGTGCTAAACGCCCACCATGATAGCTGGGCAGATGATGAAGACCAGTTGTTGAGAACCTGTAGTAAATCATACAGAAATACCCAAGAAAGAATATGATCATCCTGATGAGAGAACTGAATACCAAAGGTTGAGATGGGCATGAATGTATTATGGAACGAGATGGACTGGGAGAAAGGGACGGAAATGATGAGATATTTACAAATCTGTCTTCAACAAAAAGGTGTTAGGAGGCGCGATTTTCCCCTACAAACGAATATACAAAGCTACATGGGTTTTGCTGGATCACACTACAGAGAACCAAATAGATCAATAAGATGTTCAAAAGGTTCATGGAATATACAACTGATTAGGCATCAGCTGAAGCTGAAAAAGCACTAAACAACTGAAGAAGTAGCATTTAAAAAGTTTAACACAGCCCTCATCAATAAGTTCTAAGCCTTAAAAGGTATGCTAGAAGAAGAGAAAATTGCTAAGCAAAACTGGAAAAAGATTAAAGCAATACATTTCATTATGTCTACAGTACTGGACCGCAAAATGCACATCGTAAAGCATGAATCTCTTCTGGTACACTGTGAAAGATTTAGGAAAGGAAGAACAAGAAAACGACAGTCGATAACAATAGAAACAAAAGCAGAGAAAGCCAAGTCATGGGCCGGATTCACAGCATTAAACAAGTAAACAGGGCTGTTAGAGTTGATAAGCGGGAATATGTGAAGGAAACCGGAAGAATCTGCAAGAGAAAATACGAGGCAACTATATGATAAAACAAAACCAGTAGGGAAATACAGTAAACCATAGAGACCAGTAAAGAGCAAAGAAAGCAAACCAACCACTGAAACTCAAGAACAACTGTCAGATAGAACACTTTGAAGAGCTCTTGAATAGACCAGCCTTACTGGACTCACCAAATATCGGAGAAGCACACACAGACCGACTTATAGATGCCACTCTACCAGGGCGACCGGAAATCCTACAGAGGCATAACACTATTACTGGTACCAGGAAAAGTCTCCAACAGAAATGTTGAACCGAATGAAAGATTCATTAGACGCCCCACTTCAAGACCGATAGAATGGATTCCGTAAGGCTCGACCGTGTACTGACCGGATCGTGACACTACAGATCATTCTTGAACAATCAGTTGGAAGAAGCTCATCATATAATGTCAACTTCCTTGACTATGAGATATATGACAGCATGAACAGGAGAACCCTACGCCACCAGCTGAAGAGATAAATTAGGGAAAGACGCAGTAGGTGGATAGACTATATTTTACGGAAATCATACAACTACATCTCAAAGCAAGCTCTGACTTGCAATCCCCCCAAAAAAGAAAAGAGGGAGATAAAAGAATACGTTGTGCAGGGAATTGGAAGCAGACATCAAAAGGATGAATAGCAATTGGGAACTAGAAAAATGAATCCCGGACAATGTAGACCGGTGAATCCTGGTCGGTGGTCTATAGGAACTGTTCAGTCATTGTTTCCACAAGATATCATTACCGGAAATCTCTGAAACACCCACGCAAAATTTGTTTTATTTTACACATTTTCCATTTTTAAATCAATAATGAATTTAAATCGTAAATATTAACGTATGAAAACAAAATTCGTTTTGCCATGTAATCATAAGAATCCTCAAGTTAACTAACCTGTTTCTGTAAAATCTGGACCAAAGTAGTTGTATTATGATGAGTCTTGATTGTATCTGCTCGTTGGCTGACTAAATGAGATGCGGATTCAATAAGATCAGGTCTCAATGTCCCTAAACCGATAATAGAAGTATATTGTTTGTTAGAATCATTCAATTGAAAGAAACAATGGTATACAATTACTAAATAGAAGCAGGATGTGTAAGAAAGTTGGGGGCGGTCATAGGCAGATATATCGTTACGGAAGGGACTCTATTCAAAATTGCACCTGTTAGACTAGACGGAAACTTGTTACCCAAGGTGATGATCACTGGAGTAAATTGAAAAAAACACCCAATATCACGACCTGGCATTTTAATCACGATATTTATTGGTCTTTGACTTGCTAAAAAATGTATATCACCCATAGATCATCTAGCCAGCCTATTAACAATGCACAGAAAACAGTAATGCTGCGAAATCGCTGTGTTAGAAAACATGAATAAATATAATCGTAGGTACGGGCCTTTATCTACTATAGTCAAAACGTTAACGATAGCTAGTTTGAAAATGTGGGGTGTAAAGGTCGTGAGTAGACAGTTATTTATTGCTAGATTTTTATCACAAGCATTTATCTCCTGAGTAACATCAGCCTAGTATTTATCGAACAACGGTTATTTGGAATTTTCATGAGTTAGCTGTTGTGTTAAAAAGTTATCATTCTAGCTGTTCAAACAGACGGTCACCATTGTCTGTTCTCTGAGCCACGACACCATAACATCCACCTAGGTGTCTTTCATTTTCACTTAGTCTACCTACTTGAGCATTAAAGTCACCAGCCATTATTACTACAACAGAGCGCCTAGCTTTTTGGAGGAGGTCCGAAAGCTTTCTGTAAAGCTCATCTTTAACCTCGTCTGGAGTGCAGTCAGTGGGGGCATAGGCAGATATGACAAAGAGGCAACGGCGAGTGTCCCTATCTTTCCGAATCCTTACTGTCCCGTTTAGTCGGACAGCGCACAAGCGACTATCTACTGGGATCCAGTCAAGGAGAGATTGTTCAGCTCTACGACTCAATGCTATGCCTACGCCAGCAAAACCCCTGGAAGCAGCATCAGGGCTACCGGATACACGAAGAGTAAATCGAGCTGCTTCTTTATTTCGACAAGGTGAAATCAGATTATTAATTTTACTAGGATCCTGTATGCGCGTTTCCGAGACACAGCATACATCGATGGCACGAGATTCTAAAGTCCTAGCTAATGAAGCCTGTTGCCCCTATTTGACACAATGTCCGTACATTAAATGCTCCAACATGTAGTCTAGAACGGGGTTTCAAGAGACCAGGAATGACGTTTCGTGAACTCGCTTCGTCTGCATTAGCGGTGCAGTGAGAAAAAGGACTGTGAGTAGAGTTCGTTGTGGAGAGAAGAGAAGTATTAGGGGGTGTAGGAAGGATTTGATTTTGAACAATTTGGTCTCGTGTGCTGTTACGGGTATGAGGGCGGTTGTCACTTCCCGGCTGTCCACACCGTGGAAGGTTGTTTCTATGCACATACCACGCTCTTGTAGTTTAAAGAGGTCCAGTATATATGACGTAAGAAAGAATTCAGCAGTCAAGGTGCTATTAAAAATATAAAGGAAAAACAGCTAGCATAAACGGCGATAATTAATTTTAAGGACAACATTGAAATAATATAATGCGGATGACATAAGCAAAAAAATGGATGTATACCTTGGCAAAGCATAAGACTGCTAGGGTCTAACTGAAGTTCATTCCAGACTTCTTGAGCAACACGCACAAAAGTATCACCAATAATCTGTCGTTTATCTTCAGGGAATATAGTAACTGTTCTAAGGGGTCCAATGGGAATGTTTCTTGATTCTACATGTGGATGCATACCACCACCACTGATATGTGACTGTCTTTTAGTGTTACATGTATCCGTAGTCGTCGAATCTAACGTCGATTTGCACTCTTTGGTATTTGGATCTGGTGTCTCGTCTGACATTCCTGTAGTCAATCCTATAAACAATATAATGATCAGAAATCTTGTTTATTTCGATTACCAGAATCAGATTGAGTTTTAGCAGGGCTGACGGAAGCCGGTGCCAAAGCTTCTGTCATTACATCAACGTGAAGCATTGTAGTCCCTGATAGAAATCGAAGACCTGCATTGATCAAGTGAACTGAATGTAGTAGGATAATGCAACAAAATATGATTACCTTTAAGTCCTAGTGACTTTAATGTTTCTATAACTTTTGAAGATTCATCTTTTCTTAAGAAACCATTATCAATGTGAATAGCAATGATTTGAGATGGATCCAAAGTTTTTGATAGCAAAGCTGCACAAACAGTGGAATCGACACCACCACTTAGTAAAATCTAAAACAGATGTCAAGACTATACAGGTAAGTTTGAAAAAGAAATATTGCGGTATAACAACCAACCAGTAGCAAGTAAGCGTAACCAATGTTTTTAAATACTGAAAACCTATTACCAAAGATTTACTTTAAATATATAGGCCAGATTTAGTATGATAACGTAGGCCATGAAAAACCTTCCTATATGACGATTAGCATTCAAGAATATGATACGTCTTTAGCGTTATTATAGTGAAACTAACAGACTGCACCGTTTTTTAAACAATCTATACAGTGAACTGTTGACAAAACTGAAAAACTGGTTGCATCTAGGTAATCTTAAGTCGTTACATGTATGACGGCATTTGACAATATCAGGGACATAAGAACTACAGAGAATATGGCTGGAAAAATATAGATGGTATATCACAATATCGGTACTTTGAACAACCAATACAAATAAATTGAACTCCACCCTATTTTACAAACCAGTCACTCTCTGGACTCAGCAGTTAAGTGGATAACGCGATGGCGCTTGAAGCGAACGGTACTCGGTTCGAGTCTCAGAGTGAATATCAACTCTAAGATACAGTTACATCCAGCTAACGACTCACAGATAAGACGATACATGCGTCCTGGGTTCCATACATCGAAGTAAAAAGTATTCTAATTGTATTGAAATGATTAAGAATGAGATAAGAAATGAGTAAATCTGTTTCACCGACTGGTGTTAGCCCATATCAACTATGGTTTTCGAATAATGATCATAGTTATCCTGCATCAATTAATGACAGCAAGGAATAATAGCGGTTTCCAGTTGATAAGGTTATGGATCACACGTTAAATCGGAAAGAATAGTTAATGAATGATATACACTAACAAGAAACATTGGAATTACTATGAATGCGATTACCCAATGACTCGGTCAGTCAGTTACAACATAGAACTTCGAACGTAAGTACATAAGTTCAAGTTGCCATAGCACAGAGATGCAACTGTCAGTTCGAACAATCTTAAGTGGTATGGATAGTAGAAGTATTACTGGTAATGAAGAAGATTAGGGTTCGAAGATATCATTCAAGAAGTATAATTCCGTAACATAACTTTAGAGAGAGAAAGATGGAGGTGATGAGGAACTCAGAAGATTAGAATTTCAGAGAACACAAACAGTGGATGCATCTGTGCCATTGCAATCGATTTTGAGCCATGTCGTTCAAGGTCTCAAACCATCGGTGACTATCGTCTTGCGGACCCAAACCTGGTAGTCTACATCTACCTACATGACTCTGTCCACTTGTCGGTGACTTCATAGATTTATGCCATGTTTTGGTTTGGCCACCCCTAACTTTCTTCCAACCTAATCCTACACTACGAAATATCGCTCATAGAGGTAGTTGACAGTTGGGCATACGTAACACAAGTCCCAACCACTTCCACTGATGAAGTTTCAATACTTGATTTATTGATTTGCCATCCCTACCTAGTACTCATTTCCTAACTATAGCATCGTTTACTCGGTTGTCCCAGGATACATGAATAATGCTTCGAAGACATCTATGATCGAATACTAATAGCCTACGAATATCCCCTATTCTTACCAGCCACATAATAAGATGGAGTGAACTGCTGCGGAGTAGACTCATCCATTGGTTAGCGAAAGGTAGCAGCTCCTGACCGCAGCTGCCACCCAATGACTAATAATTCTTATCATAACTGCTTGTATCCGTAGCAAGCTACCTTCCTTAAACTGCAAGTAAAGTCCCCAAAGGACATGCTCTAACTGTAATGGTGAATTTTTATGAAGTTAAAACATTTACCAGTAAACTAAGATGTCCAAACACAAATGATACTAACTAACTAACAAAAAAGCAATTATTGAAGTAGATGCAAAAACAATCACATCAAGAGTTCATAGTTTCATAAATTGCCAAATAAAAAACAGGTAATCTTGCGAAAGTATCTCGTAATAACTTACCAATATTTTATTTTGACCGACAGCTTCACGTATTTTGGAAATGCACAATTCTACTCTGTCAGTCATTTTAAAGTCCCCCTTAAAATTACATATACCGAATAGAAAATTCTTTAAAATTTTTAGGCCGCATGTACTGAGATCCACTTCAGGATGGAACTGAACTCCATAAAGCTTTTTTTCATCGTTTGCGATACCTTAACAGTATTTGCAAGCAAATGGATTAAGCTTACCAGCTATGTTGGAACCAGACTTGGCTATGACTTTAAACCCCGTACCGGCGGTGATACAGTGATCTCCATGGGTGAATAGTACGTGCTCTTGTTTTGACAAGCCTCTATTGATTTATTACACATGAATGAGGATTGATTTACTTGAATAATGGAGAAGCTGTATCACAGTCGACTGAAAATACACCATCTTCTCGAGTGTCACCTTCTACCACTTGGCCCCCAAAAACTTTGTTAATAAGCTGAATTTCGAAGGAACGAAGTTATCAGAAACATACCTGCATTCCATAGCATATACCGAGTACGGGAATGTTCGCACCAAATAGTTTCGGATCACACGTACAGCTCGTAGACTGATAAACTGAATCAGGACTACCTGAGATTATGAAAGCCCTAAATATTAACGAAATGATTATGTTAAGAACTACTTGTAATCAGCTTTCGTAAGTACTTCGAGAGGAGTGTTGATGGGCAATATGTCAGAGAAAACAGAAAGCTCACGAACACGCCGGTCGATGACCTAGCAAGAATTACCAAGAATATATAAAAGAGGAAATTCTTTACTTTTCCGTATTGTGCACCCGCATCTAGAATTGCAATCTTTTCCATCCTTGTTGCATAAACCGGGTAGCACCAACTTTCAACACCGCGCTAAACTGAGACTACCCAATTAGCTGTATTACTGTATTTCTCTACCCTTGCGTCTTGGTACCAAAACACAACATATCGTCTAACATGGATATTTACAGTCACACAAAAACAATTTAACTTTTTCAATCTTATGATAAGTTATATTCGTTGGTTTTCATGATATTGTACATGTAACTGCATACATCTTTATGAATCGTATGGGAATTTCATACAGCCTGCAACATAAGTTTATGCCTCGGTTTCACTCCAGCGCGCTGAATATGCCCTGCATAAGCATTCAACCGTTCTTCCCACTTCACACACCATATGACTTTGGATGTAACAACATTGTGAACATCTTAACCGCTCTTCACCTCACTGAATTTGCTCATCTCAAATGCAATTCTGGTAAATATGATGGTTATTTTGAGGCTCATAATTCCTGAGTATCAGTAAGATGTTTGTTTAAAGGCACTTGTACCAGTAGTTGTCATGTTACAGGAGATTGAGTTTGTCGGTTGTCGCATGACCGATTCGAGAATTACAATAAAATCAGTACGTGAACTGGGCTCCAGCCCAGGAAAGATACAGGGAATTGATGTTTACCTGAAGTGTTTTGGGTTTAGGAGTGGCAGGAGGAGCTGCAGAATTTTTGAATAATAACGGATGTAAAGTAAGACGTCGTAAGTAATACTAATTGGTGTAAACTAGTCCTCCCCCACTCTATACATCCATATGGTACTTCTGGTAAAAACGTTCAAACTGCCGGCATTTTCATGGTTGGTACTCTGCAATTTTTTTCCCATGCCCTGAGCTGAAAACTAAATGCTCTAAGTTCCAATTCTCCAAATGAATTTTCGAGCGAGAAAGCAAAGATAGAAATGACGCATTCGACCATCGAATACGAAAAAATTCTCAGTATGTGTATATATTCACTTCTTTAGAAAAGAAAGCTATTTCGTCCTTTAGGAATTCACTGTTGGTCATCCACTGGCTTTCTCGTTAAGTCGCCTTTGATTGGCTTAACTTATCTTGTATGGAGCTTAAGTCATATTATTCAAGGAGAATTTCAAAATCAATTTCTTCATTCTTTTTAAGTTGCACTTTGTATGTTTTTGCGTGAATCCATGCTAGGTTTTGAGTGGTGATATTTTAATAACATCACTTTGGTGAATAGATGTCATTTTTTCAAGTCTTTGTTTGCGAATTTACATAGTTTAGTTCGCGTGAAAATAGGATCACTCAGATTTTGACCTTCCCCTCTTTCTGGTGTGGTTTGTAGATGGAAGTCCTAATTTTCGTTAACTCAGTCACGACAGTTTGACGGCAACCAAGATGAAGGACTGTATTTTTGTTTCATATAGTTTAACTTATCGACTTAACTATCCCTGAAGGATGGAGGTTATGTAACTCGGTAACTGAGTCTCTTTCTCTCCGATTATACCTCTCAACGGTGCAAGACTGTCAAATCTTCTTTACAGAATAACAATACAGAATTTTTCCAGCTTTAAAAACTACATCCCTTCTAATAAACGATTACGGCACGTAATAGACCGACCAAACAAATCACTGATGTATTTTATGAACCGATATCGCCTGGTCAAGAGAGGGTTTTTAGCTACACTTCCAATCTCACCGTTACATGTAAATCTTGATTTCGTTCTTTCTTAAATCATGTTCTATCGATACAATCATATAGTACTTCCCAAATCATAAGAAGTCAGATTGAGGTGCAAAAAGTTTTTCGATGCAATGCATTCAATCAACTCGATTGTATTGTCCAATGTTGTAGCAAACTTTAAATTTTTGTTTCCAGAGAATAAACCTAAAATACCAGACGAAGAGAGAAACTGAAATTTAGACAAATAACTAGGATGTTTGAGCCGAACCTATGGTTCCGAAGACCATGCGAGAATAACGAGATAGCCGATAATAGTTGATAGCCAGTTAAAGACTTCGAAATCTTTGTTTACCACTCATACCTTTGTAGTGAAACGCTTCTACGAAGAAACTGCGATTTTTGAAATGTAAACATTGTAGAATTCTTTTTGAATGTTTTGTGTTTTTGGAAAATCCCTCCATGTTTACATAATTTTGCTATGACATGATGGACTTTTTCTCTTGACATTTTTTGGTATTTTATTTGATTCCAATTTGAGATTTTATCATTGTATATTGTTATTCTTTCTATATTTGTACTTATATTGAAGTTTTTGTGTTTGCTTCTGAACTGTACATATATTGTTTAAATCTGATATAATATGGCTACCGCCACATTTTCGGACGGACGCAGTGGCTGCTGGACTTAGCTTCACTTATCGGCTATTGTGTTGGATACTCTGCGGAGTAATTTAACCCTGGAAGAATCAACCAGTTAATAAACTGGATGTCACTGATGTGACAAATGAGTTACCGACGATGATGAATACTGTTCAAACCTCCTCTGCATCAGGAGATGGAAGGATAAATATTGATCCTACGTCATGCTACTTAAGGTCTTCTGGAGACGATGAAATGTCAAAATTGGAAATCCCACCCTTGCATATTATTTATGGGTCAAAAACTTCTGTTGATAAGTTAGCATCACGGACTTCATGGTATCTGCTGATCGGAGCAAGTGGTGGTGGATTGGCGACTCGTCCCCATGATAGAGAATGTAGTCTTCGGATAGGATATGACCAGTTTTACGATGTGTTGTTCATGTTCGTATGGGTTAATTGGGTAAGGTTTATACTACCGTTAGGTCATTCCACGATAGATAGGGGAATCAAGGGCCTGATGGGAAAGTATAGGTACCTAGTTAACACGATAGGTCATATCCATGTTGGATGGCGGGTAGGCGTACTGCTGTAAGTCCTACACGTTATTCCGGTGTGGATTAGGGGATAACATGGGAACCCTAAATAAAGTGTCATTAACGCTTGCTCTTTTTGCATGGAGGGATTTTGCGGGCCGGTGTAGAATTCTTTTTGAATGTTTTGTGTTTTTGGAAAATCCCTCCATGTTTACATATTTTTGCTATGACATGATGGACTTTTTCTCTTGACATTTTTGGTATTTTATTTGATTCCAATTTGAGATTTATCATTGTATATTGTTATTCTTTCTATATTTGTACTTATATTGAAGTTTTTGTGTTTGCTTCTGAACTGTACATATATTGTTTAAATCTGATATAATATGGCTACCGCCACATTTTCGGACGGACGCGGTGGCTGCTGGACTTAGCTTCACTTATCGGCTATTGTGTTGGATACTCTGCGGAGTAATTTAACCCTGGAAGAAACACAAATTCCGTAAGGCTTTGTATTTCCATTTTTTAATAATATAGAGACGTTTTCTCCTAGAATTTTGCCCTTTTTGATTTGGTTGGGACCCGGAACTAGGAAAAACGTACAGGAGTGTTTCTATTGGAAACAATTGGGACAGCCACTGTCGAAATAAATCTACAAACATTATTGTACTCGTTTTGTTTAACTGTACCAGAAACACTTCTACTACTTCTTGAGCGCAACGTACCTACGCGTTGCCGCCGTACTTCTCTATTTGCTGCTCCCTATGTAATGCTAACGTTCTCCTTCAATAAACAACTGATCTATGGATTTATTTTGTTCTGCTTTTCGTGACGCGACCGTATGGAACATTTAGTGGTGAGCATAGTCAAGCTGGTATCCGGACTCGCTCACAACACCTTCCAGTTGTTACAGGAGGAGAAGACTATCATCATTGTATAAATGACTGATTTAGCTACCTGGAGAATTCTGCAGTCCTTTACTTCAGAAGATCATCACCATCTTGGTCTGTTTTACTTTGGTCTAGCTATAAATCTATACTGTCAGCTACATGTACTCCGGGGTGAAGAATAGAAGATCCAGTAGTCCAGACAATAGATTTGTATGTTTACAAACACTACGTTGGAAAATAGAATGATGAGGACAGATAGTTATTCTTTTGTAGCCTCAAATTTTTTTTAGAAGTATTCAGAGATTCCACATGATGACAGATAGCACGAGAGTAAGACTACGAAAATGACAGGAATCACAGTTCGATGGTTCACTGCCCTAGCAAGCTTCTAAATTCGATTCCAGCAAATTTGTCACAAGTCCTATATTTGAAAGTCATTGAGTAAATAAAATTTGTAATTAAAAATAGTAGGAGTGACACATTTGATTTACAACAGTTCAGATTCCTTCAATAGTAACAACCAGGTTATTACTAACTGTGGTCGCTTAAAAAAAGTAGGGAGACTCTATGTGCACGAGCCCTCAGATATTCCTAGTCATCATTTAAAAAACTGACGATGCTCAGTATTCGAGCAATAACTGACAATCGCGGTTCGAAGTGAACCCGACTCCTGCGAGTTGTAAAGTATATGAAAGAAGATTTTGTAGCTGGAAGACGGCAGTCGGTTCATTGAAATCGAAGGTCCGACAAGGAGAGCATAATTTGAAGAAACTTTGATCACTATATCGCTTTTATTCATCATTTTGTCATCTTTTTTACCACTGAATGTCAATCTATAGGTTATGAGAGCCTAAGTGACTACATTAGAATCGTGAGCATTAATTCGGAAACATGGAACAATGGAGTACCAGCGGCATCACAGAAAACCCAGTACCATTGATTGGTCCCTAGATGGTGGTTTCAAGTTTTAAATACTAAAGCACTTAGGGGTCTGACAGGGTATCAATGACTGTAATAGTTAGTTGGCTTTGGGCATTCTTGAATAATAAAGCTTAAAATCTCACAATACCGAAACGGAGAACCTTCGGTGTTATCAATTTATAAAATTCAATTTTGAGTTAATTTATGAGTAAATGCCAAAGATGATCAAATCATAAATTTGAGTTGTTTCAGTCATTTAAATGCCGAGTATCTTGTAGACCTACGTATACCGAAGATGATGATGCCTACTGGAGAGTTAATGTTATACAGGCGCTTCATGCTATCTTTACGACAATAGTCTACTGTATTGGGGAAAGCTTTGTTACATTGTGAGGTAAAATGCAGATTATTTTTGTAGAATATCCT